CGTATCTTCACATCATTATTATGGTTCGCAATTGATCAGTCTCTTATTGACATATGTGCATCGTGTGCGAACAACCTCGAGTCTCAGAGTGAACATCAACTCTTAGATGTAAGTACATCCAACTGACGAGTCCTAATTAGGACGAAATATCGAGGATCTTTAATTCACTAAAAATAAACAACAACCACTATTACTACTGTCTATTTGTTAATCAACTTTCTTTTACTCATATTACTTAATGTTTACTTAACTTTCTTCTAACTGGTCAATAATAATCTACAGGTAAGTATTATACTCTATTAAAATTATTATGTCCAGTTAGAATAAAGTAAACGTTTAGATGATGTATTTTTCTACGCTGATGATTAGTCGTTAATTCATGTACTCTCTCTCTCTATAGATATCCTTGAGTAAAACAAAGTTAAGAGATTAGTGGAGAGAGGGGGATGAGGGAGAAATGTAAAGTTTCTCTCTCTCTCTCTCTCTACCTATCTATCTTTCTATCTATCTATCTCCCTATCTATATCTGGATAGAAAATTAAATATAAGGGAGAAATAATAAGATCAAAATGAATTTATCCATAACAATTTTATTGATCTCCATTACTTTATTTCATATGTAACAAACCAATCGATGCATGTTCATTTCCATGGGTCTATCGAATAAGAACTAGTAAGTTCATCATCATCATCATCATCATCATCATCATCATCATCATCATCATCATCATCATCATCATCATCATCATCATCATCATCATCATCATCATCATTATTGTCATATTATCTATACCCAATAAGAAATGAAGATGTGTGAAGCTGTTCTTCCTACATTGTTTTTTAAATGAAACGCAAAAGTATTTCATTTCGTCTTTAGTTGGTTTCATCAGTTGTTCAACTCCCTTGTTATAGTTTATTAGAAAATTTAAAGGAAAACATTTGAAATAATAAAACAAACGTTAGTAACTAATCATATTGAACATAAACTGAATGATTCTCTATTGACCTAGCAACTATAATATGATTATCGATTTTATTAATATATTTAAATTATATCTTATTATTTATTTCATCAATTTAATATTGATTACATTTCAAATGAATTATGTAGTAAAATCAATAAATATTGATTATATTAACAATACTACTATGAATACTACTTATAATGTATATAACAGTAGTAGTAGTAGTAGTAGTTATAATAATAATGAATGATTTTTTCAATAGGAAATTGAATTCCATTTAAATGATCATACATTCACAATCAACAGCAACATCAACAACGAACACCACAACAACAACAACCACATAGTAACACATTTATTCGTTCCATGTTAATTCCAGATACAAATTTTCGATGAACTGTACAAGGTGATTTATATACCCGTCAAGAAATGGATCGTGATTTAATTAGTTATCAATTGAATTGTTGGTTATTAGATTCTTGTCAAATGAATATTGAAGCATATTTCTTTAAAATGATATGGAAACCAATGAAAATTCAAATGATAATTATAATTATTAGATGGAAATGATAATAAACCCTTATTTCCTAAATCTAATCTAAAGAACAAGAACAACAACATTGACGACGACGATGGAGACGGCGGCGACGTCGACGACGACAACAACAACAATAATAATGAAACATCTATGGATGTTTATGAATTATTTATACCAGAATCTGCTTCAATTGGTCATTGTTATACATTACTTATGGCATTAGATATCGATTCACGTTGTCATGGTATGAAACAATATCGATTAGAATTAATCAATAATCTATCAATCAATCATACAATGAATAATAATTTGAATCAAATAAAATCTAATTTACACTTACCATTTAGTTTAATTAATCCAAATCAATCTATTCACATCAAGGATCACCACAATTACAATGGAATGGATTGATTAGATCGTGAAAATAGATCTATCTATCTTTTATTATTATAATCAATTAAAATTGTTGAAGATTATGGTATACCCTACTTACAATCTATTCTGATATTATTGATTAAAATTATTGATATTATTGATGATCATCCATCATTGTTTATCAATGTTACCATAGATACACAAACTTCTATTATCAATAATGATCATTATAATATTTATATTATGGAAAACATTTAACAATTCGTATAAAGATTTATCATTTCTATACGGAAGATTTAGATGAAGTTGATTGATTGATTGATTGGAAACAAATATATAGTTATTTCAATCAATCAATCAATCAATCAATCAGTCAATCAATCAATAGATCGATTATTCAATCAGTAATATGGAAATATTCATTAAATCTATTCAATGGTAACTGAATGATATCGAATCATTTAGATTATGAAAATCAATATGAACGTGAAATTATTTTAATAATTCAAGCTATTGATAATGGAATAGCAAAATTAACATCAAGTTTAACTTATACAATTCATTTCATTGGTATTAATGATGATGTACCAGAAATGGATATCATCCCTATGTAAACTACTGAAATCAACAATCATAGTAGTAGTAGTACTACTCATCAATATCTAGGGAATATGAGTTGTTATCCATTATTTGATGAAAATGATCCAACCCCACCACCACCAAGTAATAAGATGCATTACTATCAAAGATAAAGATGATTGTTCCATGAATAAGATTCAATGTCAACTCATGGATCAAGAAGAAAATCTTGGCAATTTTTATTTCATTTCTTATTCAAATTATGTTTATGGTTTATTGAATCCACATGATTTGGATTATGAATTAGATACAAATCATAATAATCATGGAGAAATATTAGCTGGTATACAATGTGAAGAGCAAACTGAACCGTCAAAACTGATTCATAAATGGTTGAATATAAAATTAGAAAATTTCAATGATAATTGGCTACAATTTCATCAAAACAATGATGAATTTAAAATTTATGAAAATATATACCAATCCATACAAGGATTGGACAAATTGTTGCTATGGATGTGGATCCTGGTATCTATGGACAATTAAGAGATGAATGAATATCAGTTAATACACAATGACTGAATTTTCATTAAAATTGATTCTAAAAGTGGAATGTTCTATACAAATAATGATTTAGGTAGAGAATTTATAAATATTCATCATGCTTTTGTAACTGTATCAGATTGTGGTGGTGGCGATGTTGGTGGTGGTGATGGTGATGATGATGATGGTGGTGGTGGTGTTGATAGCAACATCAATAATCAGACACAACATTTCAAATCAACTATAAAAACAAATACAACCAGTGTAAACATTTTTATTTACTTGATAGAACTGATAATTCACCTCAATATATATTGGTCCATTAGAAATACATATTGAAGAGAATTTATCAAAAGGTCTAATTATATAGTAAATCAATTACAATTTATTGATGCAGATTTACGAGAGAATTCAACAATCAGTATCAAATGAATTGATCAATCAAATTTTTATTAATCGAGAATGTCTAATGAATTGAATAGTAACCATGGTAATGAAATGAATACTAATCCTAATACTTTCCATTGATAATGAATCAAGATGGTTTGTATCTGGTTTATTAGATCGTGAAACTCAATCACAATTTCTATTAAAATTGATCGCCTATGATCATGGTCAATCAGTTAGTCATACATGTACAATTACTTGAACATTTTCTATAGATGATATTAATGATAATCAACTAGAATTATTATATCCAATGAATGGTAGTTTTCTGTTTGGGATGTATGATAAATGGAATTGGTTTCATAATAATAAACAATCAATAACAACAACAACAACTATACCAGCTAATATACCATATGGTACATTAATCGCTACTATACGTGGTAAAGATCCAGATGCTGCTGAAAATGGTACTATCATTTATTCTATAGTACCAAGTAAAATCTCTCATTTTAAACAACACATAATCAGACAAAACACTGATATGAGTCTTCAAGTTAAGTATAAGAGCATCATGAATAATCCTAGAAGTCATTTAAAGATTAATGAAAGAAACCCACAATATCATAGAGATAACCATATAGATGTCTTGGATATACATGAAGGATTTTTCTATTTTACTATTCATGAAAATACAGGTCAATTAACAACATATTGGAATAATCATATCAAATAATCAATGAATAAATCATCGATTGATAATCAGTCAATCAATGTGAGTGATTCACAGTTCATGAATAAACAGTTCCCATCAAAAAGTTTTCCGATACCTGGTTTATATTGAATATCGATTCATTTACAAGATAAAGGTAAACCATAACATACAACTGAAGTTCTGTTTTATGTTAATATTGGTGAATCGATTGACGATCAGTTGGGTTTCTGGACATTATATAATTCTCATATAAGTATTAAAATGATATTGATTTTAATTATGATGTGTAGTTTAATGTTATTGATTCGTTTAATTGCTGCTATATGATGGGTACGTTTTAGATCAGATCATCAATTATTAAGATCTAGATCCAATACATCCTATAATGAGTATAAACCAGGTATAATCATCTTAACAGAAACACATCATTCAATGAATTTATCACCTATTAATGATATAAGATATAAGAAATCTCTAATGAATTGAAATCAGACAACATGTTCACCTTCAAATATATTAACATCACAGAAAAACTGGAATATTCCAGAAGAATATTCTTCACCAACAGGACTATATTATGATGATCTATTGTTAACAGAGACATTTATAACGAATATAGATAAGAAATTATCTAACTATACACAACCTTATTATTATAATGATCAAAATATGAATCAATTATCTTCAATACATGTATATCATTTACATGTGAATGAACACAATACAACATTGAATAGAACTGAATGGATATCCACAACAGTAAATCAATATCATCCATATTATGGAACTTCATTGATCTATAAACATTCTAGTGAACATATTCCCAATTATTATACACATGGATTCATTGACTGATAGAATAGAGTTATACAGTAGAGATGTACAGTTATTAAGTGATATGAATAATCAATATCATAATAGTAGTAGTATATGTGGTAGTGATAGAGGTGTAGATAGTGGAACAGGAATCAATATAATCTCTGATACAAATTTACCTAAATCATCATATGAAAAACGTGTTACCAATAATATTGTTCATGAAAATCTAGATGAATTACAACATATAGTTGAATTTTCACCTAGAGACAACACTACACATTGAATAGAATCGATTAAACAAGAGGAATATGAATGAAAAAAGAAAGATAAAACAATACACCAACCATTTCAAAATGAATCATTTCCCAGTGTCATCTCTTTCCGATAAGTAAAATTAATAAACTTATCTTTTATTTATGCTTGTTACTCATCATGGAGGAGTACAGGCTGCTTACTAGCACACTTCATCTAACCCTGTACTGTGTGGTCCTTTTCATTTCTGCTTCCAATTCTCAACTCGGTGTGTTCTTTGGCCTTCCTCTATTTTGCTTCCTTTCAGGATTTCAAGTTAGGGCTTAGCTCATGATGCAGTTTGATGATTTCTATAATGTATATCTATGATGATTAGGAGTATTTGAATTATAGTACTAACTATGAATCCTAGAAATAACGCAGAAGTACCACACAAGCACTAACGAATATACTGTATTTGAAATTTGAAATCAAACATTCAACAAGTACAAAGGGATCATTAGTTCATTCCAACAGCACATCCGCCTCAGCTTAAATTGCAGTCTAAGTATCTGTAATTGATTGCACAACTTCTTCTTAAGTTCATCCTGTATTCAAGTTCAGAATATTCTAAAGTTTATTCTTATCCATGTTATCTCTTCTGTTTGTTTTCTGTGTTTTTTTTTTGACTCATGTTTTCCATATGGCAACAATTAAGTCAACATATAAAAAAAATGTTTCATTAAAATAGACATAAAAATGTATTCGATTTTTTTTATAGTGAAATGAACTTGGATATTGATAACTAAAGAGAAAAACAGAAAAAACATCAATTAAAATAAAGCAAGAATAAATATTGATGCAGTAGAGTATGAATTCATAATAGTTGAGATCATATGTGAATACCCTGAATTTTCACCTCTCCTAATCCATGATTTCAAAAAACAGCTCCTTTTTTTGTGTACTAAAAACATACAATTTTAATTCAACAATGCCCGTTGGGCCTAATTCTTACCGATATATTTATGGGAAACCTGGAGGTGAAAAAGCTTAAGCACGCGATCGACTGTTCTACACTCTACTGTAGATACATTGATGATACATTTCTCGTCTGTAACAATCATAAGCACACCAGTAGACTACTTAATCTGTTCAATAAAGCACACAAAGATATGGAAGTTACTATGGAACAGGAAGTTAAAGGTAAATTCCATTTCCTTGATATTGGGATCAGACGAACATCTGATGGCACATTATATAGACACATTCATCATAAAAATACTTGGAGTGGACTATATCTCAATTACTATAGTTTCTGTCCAATGAGTTACAAATAGGGTTTGGTACGAACCCTTTATGACCGCGCTCATAAAATTTGTTCAAAGTAATGCCTAAATGATGACATTACTCTCATCACTAATGTTCTACGTAACAATGCATACCCGTTGAAATTCATCCACAAATATGAAATCACGGGAATAATCAATCACAGAAAAAATTCTGCGTTGAAAGTGACCTACCCAGCAGTAAAATTGATAACGTCACGAGAAACGAACAGCTCACTCAAACAAACTAAAATCGACAAGTCCTCTTTTCTCAGTAGTTCTTACTGCACATACATTGGAAGAACTGAGAGAAGAGTGCATGTTCGCATTTCTTAGCACGTTTCAAAGAACTTGAGGCTGCGAGGGATCAAGGCTCTCAACAGTGCAATAGCTCGACATTTATTTGATACCTGGCATACCATTGACAAAGAAGTACTACTACTACTCTCTGTTTCGCGGAAGCGATTGCCATAACAAAACCTAAATCGGATTTATGCATTCAAAAAGAGACATTAATTAACTTATAATTACCCTGGTAATTTATCATTTTTTTTGTTTTGTTAATGTTGGTTATTTTATTCATTTATTTATTTTAAAAAAATATTTATCTTGGGTTATATTCACCCCCTCCCCTACCCATTACCTAATTCTTAAACCAACTTTTGTATTCACACATTTCCACCTACTGATCCACTTAAATTATGTTTACTTTCCAAATTCTATTCAATTATTACGTAACCTAACGTATCACTGTTCATTGGGTGGTGATCAATAGCATGTGTGGCCACATTGCAGCTTGGTCGATATGATTCGTTATGCACAAAGAAGGACCTGACGCACATGACATTGATTTATACAACAGCTTGGTGTACGAATTTATCATCTAGCAAAACAAATATTTTTATTGTAACAGCAGAGACTTTTTTCATAATGAGTTATTGATATATTGTAGTGAAGTCAAATGTGATTAGTCACTGAGTGTCAACAAATAGGCACTCAATTAGCTGATCATTAAATATGTTATTTCGTTTCCTCCTATTAATTTTTACTGCGGACTCACTGAAAGTGAGTGTTTGTAATTGTTGGAGGTTTCAAACTGTTTTTCGTTTAATGAACAACAACACTCGACTTCTCGTAATTGAGTGTTCATTGAAGTCCTTGAAGAACAATAATAATAATAATAATCCAATTACCTCCTTCATCTAATCAGCTGTGAAGATCCTCTATGTGTTCTACGACCATTTCTTTAACATGTAAATTGAATATGCGGCTTCTGACATCTATGGAAGTGACAATTTAGCACCGTAAAATCGCGAAACATAGCCCTCTCATGGGTTCTAACGACTCTCTTTACCGCTTCAATTAATTGGTACGCTACCATGTTACAGACAATATGTTATCTGTTTCCGTGACAACGTGGGTACGACAAAGCCAGTACTTTATACATTATTATCGTTCATAATTTGAAGAAAAGTTGCTCGATCGACAAGTACTTGCATTTATATCAGTTTTAAGAACTAAATAACTAATTAAAGCGAAGTTAAAACTAGCCATATAATTGGACGAAACGGAACGAGAAACATTTAGAGGCGGGCTGAAAAATTTTTAAAATATCAGAAGCGATTTTTTTGGATATTATAGTAATTTCAATAATTGAGGTCATGAGTCAATCGTAGCTAGATCACCTCAATCAATCCCAAATAAACGATGTAAACGTGATTTTGAACTATGGGCAAGTATGATAAAACATTCATCTTTTGTTTTCGAATGATTTTCATTGTGTATCTTCTGAAGAGCATAAACTTGTGGAATGTTGTTTCGCATGTCATCCAGCGGCTGCTCGTATAGCCACTCTGATGGTTCATGCAATTTCGTTTATGATACATTTACAGTCATAAAGTTAATCATTAAGGAGACGAGTAAAGATCAACATCATGATGAAACTTGGGAAAGCAATTTAAGCAAATCCATTTGCACTACACACGTTTAATTTCTGTCAAAATTGTCGACACAAACATAGCTGACAGGCTATTAAAATATTCACCTAAGAATGCTGCCCTACAGAGAAATTCATTTTAAATCTGTTGCAAAATTAAAATGAATTTCAATAACAAATGGCATTTCAAAACCCATTTGATCTGAAAAATCTGATCGCTTCCACCTAACCACGAGATCCCAACTCAATTATTATTCAACACATATACACATTCGGTTAACAGTCGAATGTATTTATCCAGAATATTGATCACAGTCTTATTGTCAATAAAAGTGGGACGCATTAACTAGTCGAGTCTAAATGCATTGGAATCATCATTCATAGTTCCATTGATTGATGAAATCAGAACGTCAACAGTAGACAATTCTATAAGAAGATCTTCAGTAAACTCATTTAAAATAAGATGGTTGATGGTTACAGAGTTCATTCTTAGCTGAAGCAAGACCATCTAGGAATCCACATGAAAACTACCGGGTTTTCACCTCACTTTCTCTATAGAAAAGTAGTACTCATTAGTAAAATGAAAATGTCATTCATCTTTATTCTGTGTGCATAAATGATTGTCAGTCATATGAAAGCATCATTAGTGAGCGACATTCCTTATTCTATTTCACTTTTATATTTGGCTCATTATACAAAGCAGTAAACCATATAATTTAATTATTTACATAGAATCTGATGAGAAACAAGAGGAAGTAAGTACAAATCATTGACATTTCTACAAACAACAATTCAGGTCAACAAACTGATGTTTTTCTTTATTAAAATCACATTTTCAGGTCATGTACACTATTTATATCAACATCATTAGTATCATTAGTATCATTGATTTTAGAAGAATATTTCATATGTAAAAACGCATATAAGATGAGAAGAACTCAAATAGTAGATGTGATGATTCTATGTATTATTCAACCACATATATTCCTTACTGAAACGTCAGTTGACAGTCCTCAATGTAAACAGTTTTGACATGGGTTGGAAGCGATTCTCGTGAACTGTTCGACTGATTATATTCAGCTCATCAACAATTGTGTCTTCACAGGATATTCGTCTGGCTCTTGTAAGTGCAGAATAGAATAAATTTATCGCCCTGATCAGCATCCGACACAGACGTCGTTTAAGCACGAACACAAACCTCTCTTGATGCAATACTTCGTTCCTATAGAGAATGTAAAGAACACTCAACGGGATACAACTGTAACTACTGACAACTTCATTTAAATATCAAACGTATATTTCCTTTATTGCTTACAAATAATAACCCATTAATTTCATGAATAAATGAACATACTACTCTGTTCGATCAATTCCAATCAACAAATGCATCCAAGTAAGCGAGATCAATGTGACGAAAGCCAGAGTTGTTTCTTTCTTCTTTTGATATTATCTCTAACGGATCTGTAAATAGAATATTAGGCCAGCCAGAACGTAACAAACTCTATTCACTCAGAACAAGATAAGAATAATGATCTAGGTGGTCTTAGATGTTTTTCTTATGTAACTCAACTATTCACTGTCATCAATGTTGTTTAAACTATCATATTGGTACCACAGATAGAGTAAAACATGGTCGGAACTATTCATATTCTCCCCCTCCAAATCGATATTTTCATTCCATTTTCAACTTCCTACTTACTTCACAATTTGAAGGGATTGATTACTGAGCATACTGGAAAGTCACTTCGGTAATAAAATATAGTAAGTATTTAATTCAAATTCAATTGTTCT